TCTCTCTCTCTCTCTCTCTCTCTCTCTCTCTCTCTCTCTCTCTCTCTCTCTCTCTCTCTCTCTCTCTCTCTCTCTCTCTCTCTCTCTCTTTTGCCAAATTTCCATTCTAATCTTCTTTCTCGGTATCGTTCCGATTGTAACGGATGTTGTGAAGGACACTTGATTCTCATTTCTTTTTTTATTTGTTAGTGCTGGCACGATGAACCAGGTGAAAATTGGACCATTTCTCGATTTACGTGAGTCATCTTTGCACAGGGGCCATGCTAATCTTCTCTGTATAGTCCCAATTTTAACGGATGTCCCGAAGGACCTCTGTTAACAAAAATTTCTGAAAAATGTCAGGGTGTCAGGCCCGCGGCTAAGGTAGCCGTCTACTGGTGCTTTAAAGCACCGTCTTTACAGACTTACAGGGCTATGTGCCTCAGAGAGAGTGTCTGTGACTAAGAAGGGCCTCTTTCCCCCCCCCGTCCCTCTCTGGGTTGTCAGATGCTTGAGGAAAAAAGGACAAGAAAAAAAAAGCGATCTTTGTGTTTCTTACCCTCTTGACTGTTGGCTTGCTCACCTGCTGACCAACCTAGCTACCTACTTGTTGTTCTTTGCTAGCCTACAGGTAGCCTCCTCGAGAGTGCTCGTGGTGTCTGCTCATATCAGCAACCCTAGCATTAACTCGGGCTGTTTTTTTTTGGGGGGGTTGGGGGGGGAAATCATCCTTACAAAGCCGGTCACGGTCCCATTATCATCAGCGCACCAGGTAGGTCACGTAAGTTTCACTCCTTTTCTGATTCTTGATCACTGTCAGCCTTACCCTCTTTACTCTTTAAGCTATTGTGTTAGGCACCTCACTCTAGTTGTGTCTACTTTCTCTCTCCCAACGTTGTCTCTCCTTAGGTGCGTTAGCTCCCGCTTTCTCTCTCAATACAATTGTGGAGTCATCTTCTAGCCTTCAACTTCGCAAGGCAAAATGAACGACCGAGTGGGACAGACCTCTCATTTTATAGCGTTCACCAGGATCAACCTTTCTCAACTTTGCCTCCTTGTGTGACTGAGATTTTGAATCACAATTAACCCAAATCTATTTTCAGCAAGTGTGGACCTTGGGACCTTGAAAACTTTTGTAACATTGCAGACAACCTTTTGATGTGCTGATACCTACAACTCTAGTTAACTTACAAAAAAATATTGATTCTTTTACTGCTTTGCCCAATTGAAGTTTGCCTCTTGAAATGTTTCTTAAGGTCGACTACTTGTTCTTAGGAACACGAGGTGCCTTATTTGGCTTTTCACCCATTTATTTTGTAAGGCCCTTTTAGGGGTGGAGATCCTTGCTTCTGGTCCTAAATTTGGACCAAAAGCTTCGACATTAGTTTTATGCAGATTCTAGCTAGGTTTCTTATACTCTTCGTTTCGATTATTAATTTCAATCTCATAGATTCAGTCATTACTGGTTACTTTTCTTTTTCTTCTCATTCGTTTTCATAAACCTTGATCATGTATCCAATGGTCGACATGAGTTATTTCTTACTGAATCATTTGCTCTTTGATCCAGGTTTCTCAAACTTTACGTTATAATACATGTGAGGTTTTCCTCTACCACTTGTAGAGAATAACCTATGTTTTATAAATTTCTCAACTTCATAACCCTTTGTCCACGAACAGCGGTAACTTTGATCAACGACCATGAAAGTCATCACCTTTTGCATAGGGTAAAAGCTCGGATGCATGGAAGACTCAGTGCATCGTGAAATTTGCCTTTCATGTTGGATGTTTCATTCTCATCACCAATCACTGAGAAAATTGCTTGCAAACCAAAGTGAACAAGCAGCAGACTTTAAGTCGTTCGTTTTTCGAAAAAGAACTCATTTCATTTCCCACAACTAGGTCTCCTTTCAAGAACTACAAAGGTCTTTCGTGTTCGTTTGCTTTCTTACTCGAATTCTATAGATCCTTGGGTTATCTTTGAATCCGATCCATAGTCAAGGAATCAATGAGTCCCTGAGGTTATCAATCTTTATCCAATGGTTTTGGTGTTCGCCTCGTTACAATGTGAAGAAGATTGGTATATGCACGTCCGATCTTCGATAGGTTCTCATCTTAATCCATCTAATCAAGTCTAAACATACATCTGTAAAATTTGTTGTAAAGTTTATATATTCATCAGCTCAATTTCAACATGAATTCCAAGTTGTCTTCCTTATGCTATGATCACCCAAGTCCAATAGATTTGTATACCCAATGTTATTTTGCGAATCAAAAATCTTTGTGATATCATTTTTGTAAATCCGTATTTGAAGATTTAATTCATTACAAAAATTTGAATACTTAAAAATTCAACCATTGTGCTGCAAAGAAATAAAATGGTGTGGGTGCAAATTAAGTCTTTCTCCCTTCAGGCCGCGAGCTTTTGGTTTTCACTAGCTGGAACAAAATAGTTGGAAAGAAAATTGTTGAGTTATATATGTAGCGTGCGGTGCATATTCTACGTAAATTTCGTTATCTATATTATTTAGTTTTTAAAATATTTACTCATATTATCAACGAGTTGACAACAACCATACTAACCAATAAGTTAATAACAAATGGCATATGTGTTTTGATTAATACAACGATTAAAAAAAATTGCATGTACGTTAATTTTATCTTACTTACGAGCAGGGTAACCGGCGTTTGGGACGTGCCGAACCCCCGAACGTATGGGACCCCTTAGGGATGCATTTGGCCATTCGAGTCAAACACAGACCGAAAAAAAAACAATTAAGATAAAAAAAATCAAAAAAAATTGAAAAAACATATATTATGAAGAAAAATAAATTAAACAAGATTTGTCTGAGCATTACATCCAAATTCCATACCAAATTTAAAATCGAAGTAAGAAACGGAGAACGAATACTAATAACAAAAAAAACAAAAGAAAAAAAGAGAATTCAATTTAGTGAGTGCGCGAGCATGTTTTTCACACCGCCATCTTTGACGATTTTTTTTTTTTTTTTTGGCATAGCGAAATGCCCTGAAAATTTAAAGATTTGTACTTCACATAATGCAAAACCCACTTAAAAAGTATCAAAAAATAATAAAATTGTTTAGACCCCGAACTAAAGTGAACACTATGAGTAAAAAGTGAAAAAAAACATGGGTGAGCATGTTTTAACACTGCCATCTTTGGAGATTTTTAATTCTTATTTGGCTGAGCCAAATGAAGTCAAAATTTATAGGCATGTACCTCACGTCGTAGAGAACTCACAAAAACAAATTCAAAAAAAAAAAAAAAAATTAGGCCCTGAAATAATTTTTGGCAGGCGCTGAACGCCGTCGGGTTCGGACCCCGAACGCCCATATGTACAGAGGTCGGCCCGGGGACCTCCGTACGTACTGGCTGGTGACCCTTTCATAAAATTTGGCTTTCAGGGTCATAATTGTATTTTCAACAATGACCACGTACATTGTAATTAACTAAGTAACGAATCCAGATGTCCAGGCGCCCTTGATTTATCCAGATTCGCAGGCTGGATAATACTGTCAAAATGAAAGTGGATTGATTCACACGCCGGATAATGCTGCCGAAATAAAATCGGATTAAGTATATACGAGGGTTCAAAATAGGCTACTTTTCATTGTTTTCATCCAAAAAAAATACCGAAAAATTGAAAAAATAAAGTATGTTGTTGCTTAGCATCGTGTTCGTGTTTGGAGGCGAACCTGAACATGTTCCCTTGAACACAAACTAGCGCCCAGAACCCTTCGAACGGAAACATAAAAAAAAAACAAAAATTAAAAATTCGAACAATCTGAAAAAACTATATATCATGTAAAACAACAATACAAGCAACTTTTGCCTTGAAGTCATGTTCATATTCTTAATTGAACGTGAGTTTAAAATAAAAAACTCAAAAAATAAAAAATTATTTTCTATTTTATTTGGAAAAAAACGATGTTCCCCCAAACACATTCGCGAGTTGTTCGCGCGAACGCGGGAACATGTTCGTCGTGCTACGCAAGTATGTTGTAGATTATAACAATACGAACATTTTTTGGCAGG